GTTAGCCAAAAATAAAATGACATTTAACAAAGCCTGCTGAGCCTTCCTTTAAAAAAAATTTTTAGTTTAGAAATAAGAGGGGGGAAAAAGAAATTATATTATGGTTCCGTGAAAACGGAATTTCATTTGGTAATTTAAAGATTTTTTCTACTCACAAATATAAAGGCAAGTAGTGTCCCATTAACAATAGTTGATATTTTTATATTTACCAAAATGGATTAAATTATCTTAAAATGTACATTTTCTGACTAGTATTCAGATGCAGGTCCCTCTGATTACAATAAAATTAAAAATATAATAAATAAATGATTTTTTGAAAAGCATAACATGAAAGTGAATCGTTTTGATTATAAATCTACAGCTACGTGAAGGTAATTCATGAAATACAGATTTAGTAGATATATAGAATTTGGAGCAATGAGAACTGCTGAAAACGTTCGAAAAAAGAGGGATTCGTCACAGCTTTGGCGCTACTAAAGTTTTTTCCTTTATTCCAAAAAAGAAAATCAATTGAAGCTGTGTCAATTAGAAATGCAAAGTCAAAACGATTCACTTCCAGCAGAAATTCAGAAACAACATGATGACCAAAAAAGAAAAAACATTCATCAGAATGAACTTTAAAGCTGTTAAAATTAAAATGAATTTTTAAATAAATAGAACATTTGATATGAAGGCAAAATGTTATTTTATATGAGATGGTGACATTTTACAACAGCTTTTGTAGAGTGATATTCAGTTTTCGAATGCAACTGCCTTGTTTTTAGGATTCCTGTTTAAATAAATTTTGAAATATTGATATGTTGCACCATTTTGTTATAATTTTTTTTTAAATTTGTGATATTTTTTAACAATAATGAAATTTAAATGTTTAAGCAATTACTTTTTTAGTTGTTAACTTATTCATCATAATTAAGTTATGTTAAGCTACAATTCATTCTGATGGATTATTAAACAAAATAAACTCCATAAATGCAATGTTCCATGAAATGAATGAGACCCATGCATGGATATTTTTGCATTAGCACTTCTCAACGATGGAGAAGACAGAAAAGATTGAGCTAAATATTTCCAGCATGGATCCTAAGTACAATAAAATACAAAAGTGAGAAATACCTGGCAGACTAATTTTTCGCCACAGCTGTTTGAATCACCACTTGCGAAGAATAATTATTCATAATATTTAGATTTTGCTTAGGAAAACATTTAATATATTTTAATTCCATAAAAATGATTCCTTTTGAAATATAAAATTTCATCCATCCTAAACCCTTTTAAAAAATGTTCTATATAATTATTTCCATTTCCTTATAGAGATAAAGAAAAAGCAACTACACTATGCGAAATTAAACATTTCTACAAAAATAGACTCACTAAAACATAAATTTAGACTTTTTAAGTATTATGTTTTAGAATGTAAATCTGAAGGAATATTGATTCAGAGAATAAGTTCATCTAAAATTTTTGTGAAGAAAAATAAAAACATTATTCAAATCGCGTGAATAAGAATCGCAACACGCAAATATGAAAAGCTATGTTTGATATTAAAATTGTGTGAATAAGAATCGAGATATTAGCAGATTCCAGGCTTGGGACCTCTAAAAGGCTTGTCAGAAGCAGCGTCGTTTGAACTACAAAAATCGGATCTATCTGGAGGGCGGGTAAAAAATTCGGAAAATCTTATCTGCTGCGTGTAAAAGGGGAGAAAATAGGTAAAATAAGTAAAAATGAGAAAAGATTGGTAGCTATGTTGTTTGAATTTTCTGTTTCTCTTTGAAAATCGGTGAATTTTCTAAAAGAGCGGAATATTTATAAAAAAAAAAGAAATTTTTAGAAAATCTGAATTTTTGATAAAAAAGCTGAAATTTAAGAGATAAAAGTGAAAAAATCTCATCCCTTATAAACGTACTTTCTCTGAATAAACATACCCTTTTTTTCAACAGATTTCGACCCTTAAAATATGGTCCCAATAGTTTTGTCAGGAGAGAGCTCCAAAATTTAGACTCCTTAATTTTAATTTTTACGTATTTCGCTATATCTCAAAAACTTATTAAGCAAATAAAAAAAATTTTGCACACAATTATAAAATTCATTTATTCAAAGATAATTCTATCCAAAAAAATAACTCCATATTAAATTTAAGCAAAATTGTTTGAATAGTTCCTGAGTAATTGAATTTCAAATAAGTCAGATTTTTAAAATTCAATTTCTCTGGAACTATTTCGCTCAAATTTTGTATTTTCCCATGTAAAGTGACAAACTTTAAAATGATGTAAAAAATTGTATTTCTTAGAATTCAAACTTTTTTTTTACTATTATTTAATAAAATATTAAATATTTATTTTTTGCAAGGAGTTATTTTTGGATAAGGCAATTTATTTCTGTGTGCAAAAATTATTCAATTCGCTTAATTAGTTCTTGAGATATGGAGAAGTATGCAAAAAGTAAAATTAACATTAAGGGGTCGAAACTTTGAACGCTCTCCTGACCAAATACTGAGGGTCAAATATCCAAATACATTGTAAAAAAGAGTATGTTTATTCAGAGAAAGTACATTTTTTTGTCATATTTTGTAACTTAAAATATCATCTGCACTTATTAATTGGCATATTTAAGGTCATCTTCTAGAGCCATTAATAATGAGTCCTAAGAAGTGAAGATCTAATCATTCAATCGAAAGTAACTCAGGGTAGTCGTTTTTTGCTCACTTCACATATAAATAAATTTGAAATAATAAAATTTTAAATATTTGCATGGAGAGCAGCAGTGTTAAGTTCGACAGGCACAATTTAAAATTATAAAAGTGTATAAAAACATTGATTTTTTTTTTGCTACGGAAAGTCGAGGCTGTTTTTAAAGGCTCTGTCATCACATGAAGTCGCACTTTTTTTGCAAATAATATATTTTCGTATCTGCTGTGAGTTTGCTACAGTTATTCATGACTGTTAGGTTGAGTTCAGCTCATCCTAACAGTTATTTTAAGTTAGCCAACATTCTCTACATTAATTCAAATCTGAGGAAAAGCCACTGTCTTGTGGTAAGTTTTTAAATATTTGTTATTTGTCCATTCTAAAGCCTAGATAACTCTTAATATTATAATGGTATGCATAGTTTTTAATTACAGCCTTACAATAAAAGTTAAGGGAAGAGTTAAGAGCAATTGCATGGCTGCAATTTCTTCGGATTTTTCCCAAGTATTTTTATGCTTTAAAGTGATAGCAAAACTTTTGTTTTTCTTTCATTTTTTGATTTATAAGTTTAATTAAACAGGGCACTAACTACCACAACAGCTAAATAATTGAACATAGATATATATAATCATTTTTTCATCAGATCAATTTTCATTCATCATCAGCGACCAAATAATTAAGGTTGGCGAGTAAGTTCTGTCTTGTAAAATGTAGTGTTTCAAATCAAATTCCTATATTTTTTGCCAGTGTTGAAGGTCTTTGTTAATATGCTATTAAATGGGATGTAATTTCAAAAATCTTAAAGGTAAACCATACACTGATTAAGCGAGCGTTAAGGAAAGATTCCCATACTTTTGCATCATCAAGCACACCCTTATGCAAAAGTATAGGAAATCGCTACCTGTATGCGTCTTTCTTACTGTTTGCTTCGTCAGTATTAGGCCAGCCTTATGGAAACGTTCCTGTTAGAGTTAGAACTCGGGAGGCTGCAGCTGAGAAACTGCATTATTTTAGGGCCAAAACACAAAGTTATACATTGAAACACCAAGAGAATGGGGGCTTTTTTGATTTCTCTTATTTTAAATGACGTTTAATGACACAGACTTGAATTTTAGAAGTAGCTGGTCGATATGAATAAATATGAAATAAAGGGTAAAAAAGTACATTCAACGAAAAACATCAGAATTTTTTTTATAAACATCAAAATTCATATTTTATGCAGATATAAACAGAAATTATTTTATTGTAAAAGTTTATTTCTAACAAAATATTTTTTTTCTAAATGTAAATAAAATAAATTTTCTAGGTGATAATTATCTACATTATTTTGAATATGCAATACTATATTATTAAATATGTGTGGAAATTATTTTATTTATAAAATTTAAAGGCTTAGTAGTCAATCGATTTAAAGAAACAAATGTCGCTTAGCTGGCAGTTCAAGTGAAACAATTCCTTTTAAATAGTTTGTGAATGCAACCTAACATTGATTAAATTATTTAAATAAAAAACTATTCATTACCTAATAACTTTCCTTAAAAGTACACTTTAAATCTATAATAATGCTATTAAACTAAATATGCTTTGAAAAAAATTTTAATTTGATTTTGTAAATTAATTTTAATATTCCATTTCACTCACTGTTTAAGTGATTTTTTTTAAACTTAATATTTTTATAGTTTTTGCCGAATAATTTTATTTTAATATTGCTGAAATAAATGTTGTATGGGTTAAATTGCCAGAATTGGATTAAATGAAGTCTTGCATAAGCAATAAATGGCTCTAATTATCTTAGTAATTGAATCGCTTGGCCATAATAATTGCATGTGATCATTTAAAAGTTAACAACTTAAAAATTGCTGACCAACTATTTCAAAACCCTAATAAAACTTACCATACATTTTGAAATATACAGTTTAAATGATCAAAAAATTTAATTCAATAAATGTGTCAGTCAAAAAAATCTTATTTTACATTAATTTTTAACACAACTGAAAAATAGAAATGTCATGTTCAGAAAAAGCTGTGAAGTAAAAACACACAAAATTTATCACCAATATAGGTTTTACACTTTTGTGTATAGTAAAATTAATGTTTATCATTCTTTGCCACTAAATTTTAACACACACATTAAGCAAAATTTCATATTGTGTGTAGCCAAGATATGTGATTTTTCTTGTAAAAAAAATAGTTTTTATTTTGAAAAATATGAAATTCAGTTTATAATTCCTTAAATTTTATAAATATAATTAATTAAAAGAAGAGTAAATAAAATTGAAAAAATAAGTTGTTTTAAATTAGCAAACAATGAACAAAACTGTCCCAGTTAATGTATAAATTGTGAATGTAAATATGTGTTTAATTCACACAATTTTAATTCAGCCGTTAAACAATTGAGATTTAAATTTAAAAAGTAAACAAGGCAAATCTTAACTGATTTTGGAATTGACACCAAAGTAAAATAAATTAAAACTGATAAGTTGGTTATTTCATAACAACCTATTGGCGATCGAAATGGGCTGCAGGAGGCGTAGAGCAGAACTCTTTTCCTATGGCAACACTTCACATGCTTTCCCCATTAGCGTGTGGAAAGTCATAGAGGAAGGAAGTAGGTTAGTTTCTCTCTTGATTTTCATATAGATTAAATCTTTTAACTTGAAAAACTATATGGAACTGATAACTACATTAAACATAGTTCTAAAGAAAAGTATCATGGAAATTTAAAAAAATATTTTTATTAAATAAAGAGGAAAAATATTAAGAAAGGGGAAAATATCGTAGTACATTCCTATACAACTGAAAAGAGGAGGAGAGGGAAGGGAGAAGGGCTAAAGGCATGAAACCGGTTTCTCCCCAGATGGCGTATTTGAGTGTTGCGATCGCGAAATATAAAAAAAACTTTTCGAAAAACAATAAGGCCAAATTATTAATTGGTTTTGAAATTGACAGAGTAAAAATAAATTGAAAATGATAGTTTGATTATTTTATAATCTATGATTTTATAAAAATAATCTAGTTTGAGGGGAAAAAAAAAGAGCAGTAAAATAAGTTTAAACTTTTTAGAAGTTCAAAATTGTTTTATTTCCAGAAAAAAAGAAGATATTAACACATTTTCCAACACTAAGTTATTACAATCAAAAATACCTTAACATAATTTAATATTATTAGTTCATAGTATATATAGCAAAACTTATGACATTTTATTTTTGAAATATTTCACAGGCTATGAGAATTTCACAAATAAAACAGATACAAATGATATAGAGTTTCACCTATTACGAGAGCATTAATAAATATTTTAATAGTTAAGCAATTACCAAGTCTTTCCCACAAAACATTTCTAATTAGTCAAGTTTATTTTAATTAATACATTGTAATTTTATTTTATTTTTAAACATTCTAAAATTTTGAAGTAAAAAAATCTATCATAACAGATTTTTATTTCCAATGCAGCAGGTGAGAAGTTAACACAGTCAACCATTGCCACCATTACAAATTAAAATTAATACACATAGAAAAGAAAAAACTATAAGCTGTATACATCTACTCCAGTAGCCAATTTAATTTTATCAAGGAGAAAAGCAGGATCAGCATAAAAAAAATTTAAAATACGTAAAAAATTCACCTAAGAAAATGAATGCATTTAATTAGAAAATATATGTAGATGACATATCTACGGCAAGGCAAAAATATTTATTGCAATACCTTTATACAGAAAAAGTAGTTTGGAATTAAATTGAATTTCCCATAATAATTACGGAGTGAATGTCAAATTCATGGGAGATATGTGGACTGGAGATGGGGTTGTATTTGGAAAACGATAGACACCGGAGTTTGGCTTTATTTCTTCAGCATGAATTCTTCTTGCGGTTATCTGCCTAAGGAGTGCTTTAGCATCCTCTTTAGTTTCAGGATAATCCAAGCATTTCTGTGCATTTTCATGAGCTTCTTCCAGTTTTAAATGTTCGTAATAATACTTGGCCAAATACAAATATGCATGGCAAAGCTCATCTCTGTCAGTAGCATTCCTAGCTTCTGCATCTCTGATGTAATTAGTGTATGCAGCTGCAGCCTGTTTTTCTTCGTTCAATTTCTCATACATTTTAGCAAGTTTTATAAGAGCCATCCCCTCAATGTCGCCAACAGCATGTGCTTTCCAGAAACACTTTTTAGCCTCTTTCAGCTTGTCTAACTTCTCGTAAGCTTCACCTAATGCTACCATCATCCGAGAGTCGTATGGACGAAGATATTGAGCTTGCTTATAATAATAAAGGCAGTAATAAGGCATTTTTAAGATTTCATAAGTCTGTCCAAGACCATACCAAGCACGATAATCTCTTCTATTAACTTCAATGGCCTGTCTATAAGCTTGGATAGCGAAACTGGTATTTTTCATTTCCATGTATTCATGACCCATAAGGGTCCAAGCAGATAAGTAGCTTGGATTAAGCTTTAAAGCCCTTTGGAAATATAAAACTGCTTTTTCATGTTGCGTACGTAAACTGTAAAAATTACCTATCACACAACAGGTCTCCACTCTGTATTTATCAATGTCACACGTATTATGAGCTAGATTACTCAGTTCCACACGCATTTCTTGAACATATAACAAATTCGAATAAATATCTAAGTTGTCTAACCTATAAGGATCTACTTTTAGAATGTCCTGAAAACCAACAATGGCTTCTTCTAGATTACGCATGTTATGGTGGGCTATGGCAATTTGAGCCATGACATAAGTGCTTTTAGAAAACCCAGCTTCCATAAGGCTTGAATAAATTTCTAAAGCTGATTCATTCATCTGAATTTCCAAATACGTGTGGGCTAAGAAAAAGTCCTTGATCCAACAATCGGGTAATGTAAGATCATTCAACATTTCTCTGTCTGATATCAGAGTTGCCAATTCAAGCCAAGAACCCCAAAACAAAGGCTCTTTCTGTACAGCTTCACAGAGAATTTCCAATGCATATTTTTCTAATTGTAGCTTTTTAAGAACAACACCATACAAATAAAGACAATATCCATCTAAAGACCCTGATATGTGAGCTTTTTGAAGTTGAAGCCGTAATGATTTTAAAACTGAATTTTTTGATCTATCATTGGGAGAGGATGCTTCAGCGATGTCATCTAATCGTTTCTTCTCTCCGGAACAATAAGTAGAATAATAATGAAGAAATCTTGCAACGGGTGATGTACTGTGTTGTACAAAGTAAGCAGCCCGATCATACTCTTGGTTGTCAAAATAAGACTTGGCACGTCGATAATAAGCATACTCTCTTTCATTAGCTTTGATATCCTCTCTTTTATTTTCGATTAGCTCTGAGGAATTGAAATCAGTATCAGTTCCAATTTGATCAATTAACGCACAGTATAGTTCCGAAGCCCAAATGTCAGTATGTCTGAGACCTCTTTCACTACTCTCATCAATTATCCTTTTTAAATCAGAGCCAATTTTTTTAAGATCATATTCTCCAATTGATGCCATTTTAAAGAACAAAAGTTAACTAATCTTCAATAAAGCTGCAAAAAAGCAATTTTAAAAATAAATTACATAAAACTTATATCATGTACAAAAAATGTAAATCAAAATTATTTATAAACTAATTATCATCTTCATCACAATGGAATATGGACCATATCTAGGTCATACAAATGGAATGTTTTCATTTACTTTTAAAATAACCTACATATAAATAATAAAATAAAAATTAGGAAAATTAATCAAAATTATAATTTAAAAAAAATCACACAACATTTTCAAAACCCATTTCAGAATTAAATTTTTCAATGAATTTCTCATCCATTCTTCTCAATCGGGCCAAAAATTCGTTCTTTTCTTCTTCATTCCAAGAAGCATACCATTCACGAAATAATTTCATTCTACATTGGAAAATGCTTGGAGGTCTTTCATTTAATTCTAGGCTATTGATGGAATTAGCAACACCATTTATTTCTTTATGGGAGTAGATATCTTTAAGGATTTCAAAAAAATCATCTCTCTGCATTTCACTGTACTCCATGAACCACTGAATCAAATAGTTCAGCTGTTCGGCTATTCCAATGGGACCTCTGTTTGCCATTATTTGGCTTTATAACATTCTTCTAATAATTTTATATGAAAGGTGTGTTTACCTTGATTAGTCCATTCATCAAACCACAATGAAAACTGTTTAAGTTGACATTCAAACACAGATGGTGAGTGACTCGTTACCCTTAAAGTTTCAAAGCTACTCAATAAATCTAAAAGGTTGTCAGAACGTTTCTGCTCCGAAACTTTATAAAATTCTTCCTTTTGAGTTTCAGACCAGAGGGAAAGCCAATGTACTACACAGCGGATTTGTTGTTCTTCGAAGCTCAAGGACATTGATCATCAGGCTCCTAGGAAACAATTGTAATCGAAGTATAATTAATTAGTAACTAACAAGGTTAAAGAAAAAAAATTTATACAGCAGGTTCCCGGCTGTCTAGTCAAGGCCACATAGGACAAAATTTCAATTTTTTACCAACTCAGACACATAATTAAAAGTACATGTAACACATTTTAAGATACATGATTACTGCAAAAGTACTCTAAGTTTATAAATAAGACACATTTGAAAACTTATAACTAAGAAGAGTTAAGATATATTACAAAAGTTTTATAAGTGACCTTATTCCTGTATTCGAAATTAACTAGGATGGTGAGCCTAATTATTAATATGAGTCTGATAATCGTTAGCCTACTCTAGTTTATTAATGTAAGAGCATCAAAATAATGAAGAGATTCATACAAGAAAGAATTATAAATATTGGTTAAGTGGATCGTTACTAATGCTAAAAAAAAATAAATTTAAATCAAAAATTTATTCAAACTATTTATAAGTCTATATTCATTTGAAACTAGTGGATATTTTTTTTTCATGCAAAATTTGATCTATTTTAAGCAATGATTCTTTTAGATATAGTTTACCCTAGGTACAATGCTCAGATAAATTTTTAAAAATGGCACATAGTTTTGCACATCATATAAGTTAGCAAATTGAATTTTAAGTTTTATAATAAAAAACATTACAAGCATCTACTACATTTATTTTTTTTTCAGTTTTTGGATATCAAAATATTCCACATTAAATCGATCAATAGCTAGAATTTCTAGCCTTAATATTTTATTTTTGGCCCATGAGAAGAAAATAGCAAATTGTACGAAAAATACTACTGTATGAAACGTTTTTAATCTTTTGTTTTCGAGTAACTGATTTAAAATTTTTAAGGTTCTCAAAATTCTTTCAGGTTTGAATAGTTGTTTGTTGGAAAATATAGTTCGTCTATAGAACGAACTCCTCTCATTACAAAATCTAAGGTTATCTGTTGCTATAGAAACAAAAAATATGCATTTTAAAGGGGGCTTCACAATAGATGAAAGAAAAATTATTCCCCTTCTCTCACCAACTTGAACCTGTCTTAAATATATTTGAAATGGTTTAACCTCATAACCATAGTCACGGCCACAGCTTTAGACGAATGGTGATATTTTGTTATATTAATTAATGGTGATATAATTTTGTTATAATATACAGCCCATACTTGACCTTAAGAGCTAAATTTTACGTTATTTTGTTTAATTTTTAATGGCATTTTATTCAATAATTACATATACATAAACTACTTACTAAAAAAAAAGTAAAACTTGATGCAATCATAAAAAATTGAATAATTAGTTTCATAGATATTACTATATAAAAAAAAAATTTTAAGTTCTTAATTACTTAATTTTTTTTACAACATAATTTCACGAATTTTATCTGAAGAATTTGCTTAAGAAAATTCAAATTTTTCAAGCTACAGAAATACATACTGTAGCTTGAATTGTAGATATTGTGTTATATTTTTTGAAATACTCTTGAATAGATTCATTTTTCTTAATTGCATATAGCACAGTAAAAATTATTTTTGAAAGCGGTGAATTGAAACAGAATTATTAATATCTAATTGTTTATAGTCTATAATGAATCATGATCTGGTGTCTTAAAACAACCTCTTGAATTTCTTAAAATTTTGGGGGTTTGGAAATTTTTTTTTAACTTTGAGATATATGGCAATATTTAAATATAGGGAAAAAATGTAGAATGCAGCAAAAAGAAAACCACATTCCAAAATATTACATTAGATAGCATTCCAGAACAAATATCAAGACTGTGACTAAGCTATTTTATCCATTTACATTTCTATAAATTTCAGCTGCATCTAGCATTCACTGCAGGTGATTAAAGAAGGAAAAATTAGGATTGCATAAATTGAGCAATGAGTCACGATTTTACGGCCAGAATTTTTATTTCCTCAAGACAAAGAATAAAAAGTACTACCATAATTTCAGAGGAGATATTTCGTGATCTTTAGCACACAATCGCCAAATAGAATTTAAACGATGGGTGTTGAACCTGAACCCGGGTGATAATGAGTTGGTACCCTTTTTGTTTCGTTTTATTTAGTTGCTCGCGCGCCGATATGCCATGACTTAGCGATTAGTCTGCCGCAGATCACGATACTACAATATTCCCATTTGATAAATTAACAAAGAATGTTTTAGCAGAATTGTTTACTATATTTAAATTATCAAAGATTTGAAAAAAGGCACGCTTTTACAGTTAAGAGCAGGCTAAATCACTAATATAAATTGATTTAACGATAAAATGTTTCCCTTTTTCTGATGTATATTTCAATTTCATACATAACTTAAATCGGTAAACACAAAAAGGGTGGGAATTAATTTGAACAGTGGTATGTATTAACTGATGATAATTTTATTTATCCCTATTATATTATATTTTCTACAGTGAAAAAATTCTACTCATGAGAGAAAACATCCATTAATATATTATTAATAATACCTACACGCGTTTCTTCAAATTTAGTCGCTTTTCGTGTCCATGTATGTGAAAATTAAACTCAACATGTCAACTTTAACTGTCACTTTGAAAAATTGAAGTTGTAGTTTTGACCTATTCTCAACTTAAAAAAGATGAGCATTAAATGAAGCAGAAATAGACAACAGAAAACGCTTCAAGTAAATAAACTTCGCTTTTAGTGAAATTTTCAATTTCTGTTATTTTTCGTCATTTGTTTCTACAATATATTTTTCTTCAATTTACTTTTCGACAAAACATGCAGTTTGGAAAAAAGATTTCCTCTCTAGTTCCCAGGTATATATATTTCTGTGCTATAAAATATCTGAAAATATTAATTAACAAATTTGTATCTGTGCAAACTAGCTGAAATACGGTTCTCCTTAGCAAAAAAAAAAAAAAAGTTTATAATTGATACGTTAAGTGTTTCTTTAATTTATTCTAATGCATTCCATTGCAAAAAGGGTGATATTTCCGTATCGTGACCAACTACAATCGCCAAGGTGTCAAATAAGTTTTAAACGTGCAAATTTTATTAAAAAAAAAAAAAAAAAAAAACAGGTAGATGTTTTCCCTGGATTGGTTGCCAGTTAAAACCTTTCGGGGGGCTTATTTTCACATCGTGATCTATTGCGCCAACTACAATCGAACAGGTGGCGCTTTTAAACTTGCAAATTTTTTGAAAAAAAGCATGTAGATATTGCTACGAGGGGGATACTTCCGTATCGTGATCTGTGGCAGAATAATCGCCAAGTCTTGGAAACTTCCGGGCAGTGGCCGGCAAGAAACTGAAAAAAACATCACAGTAAGGGACCAACTCGATAGGTATAACTTGTAGCCTCCCCCAGGCAAACATCTGCATGTTTTTTTTAAAAAATAATTTGCAAGTTTAAAATCGATTTGGCACCTTGGAATTGTAGTTGGCATGACAGATCATGATACAGAAATATCTCCGCTACGAGTTATACATTTCAAGTTGGTCCTTTTCTGTGATTTTTTTAATTTATTTTCTCTCGGTCGGCTGCCCGGAGATTGCTAAGACCTGGTGATTATTCTGCCACAGATCACGATATATCCCCAATTTTATATAATATTAAATAAAGTGCAGGGGGAGATTTCCGTATCGTGATCTGTGGCAGAATAATTGCCTAGTCTTGGTAACTTCTGGTCAGCAGTCAAGTTTAAAAGTTAAATTATTGGAAATACACATTGTGCTCAGTAAAATTAGAACAATATAATATTCTATCTAGGGTTTCATAATTGTAGTTGACATGGTCGACCAATAAACTTTGAACGGTGACTATGTGTTTAGCTTTTCAATTATGATCTGACATTTTTTTTATAGTTCAATATTATGTTTAAAAATTGATCAGAGAATTAAACTTGAGCATAATCGTCCCCCACCATTCTTGACATTAACGATCATCAGAGAAAAATCCTGTTTCTCTTTATCTTCGCAATGTTGTACATCTTTCAAATTTCTGATGTCGTTTTTTTTTCAATAATATCCTGTTTTAAAATAGGGATTTAAAAAATCATATTGAAATGTATAAGAATAATTGCTGAAATGCGATCAGAGCTGCATGACTTTATGGTAAAATGGAACAAACTTAATGGAGAATGGAAAGGAGATTACTTATATGCGTGATTTATGATTTAAAGATATCGGGATTTTTAAAATGATTTAGAAATCCGCAGCTGATAAAAGTGAAATTTACAGCAAAATTGGTGAAAATCCAAATTTGTCTGCATAATGATATCCGATTAAAAGTAGCAGGATCTCAACTAACCATGTAGACATCTGTATTAGTAAGTACTGAAAAATCATGTGGATTTACGATAAAATCAATGCAAACTCGAACCAATAGATAATTATCGAATATCAATAGATAATTACTCATGTGCACAATAAGATTTATTAGTTTTAATAGTTTCATATTAATAATTTTGGGTTTTTAAAACTTATACTGGAATTCATCGATGTGACCGTTGAAAAAATGATTCGAATAATGAGTGAATTCATGACATAAATCAATCTTATGCAGCTAAAGGTTATTATACAAATGGGCAATTTGAAATTCCCCTGTCATATTATTATCCTATTATAAGTATCAGAAATTCAGAAGGCCAAGTAAAAATCTGAAACAATAATTGCTGAAAAACTACTTGAATTTATGATAAAGTGGGTGCAAAATTGAATTTAAAAAAAAAAAAAAATCCTGACAAGATCTATTATTTATTTATTTTTTTCTTAAAAAAAATATCTATTAATTTTCATGTGCATATTTCTATAAATTATGATAAAATTTTCACACAAAAAAAGTTATTTAATATTAACTGTTTTAAAAAATCCGCTTTACAAACTAATATGAAAAATCGGAGACCCTACTACGGAAAAAAACCAAACAAAATTTATTTTGTCAATGTGGTCTGTTTGTCAATGAGCATTTGGTTTGAATTAAAGTGAAATTATAATATTTTTGTCATAATTGTAATTTTTTTTCAAAATCAAAAAAAAAAAAAAATCTAATATAAAACTGTAATTTCGTAACACAGTTTTGTTTTGTTTTTTACTTTTCTATGAGGCAAATATTGTTAAATCTAAGTCCTAAGAGTGTTAGCACATGGAATATTGAGTAAAATATTTATTTGTTTGATGAAAACTTAGACGATGCTATAATTTGGCATGAGTATTATATTAACTATCCAAGTGTTGAGCTTCAAGCAAAATCGTATTGAAATTTTTACTATAAAAAAACTACGCTTTGCTCTCTTGTTGAATAACATGGAGTCGATAGTTTTTGATGTACAATGAGGCTAATGCTCAGAGTGTTGATATTGTGGTCATATTGTTTATGCAACTTGTCCACTTTACAGTTCATAATAACTTCAATTCAACATTGGTATGAAAATAATAATTCTTTTTTAATTTGTAGTATTGCTTTACTTTACTGACATGTGGAAGTCATCAAGTCTTTTAAAACCTCAAGCTGCAGTGATTATCAATGTTGTGCGTGCTTTTCTATTGTATAACATGGATACAATAGCTTTTTGATGCACAATGGGACCCATGCTCAGACAGTTAAAATTATTATAGTTATATTGTTTTTGCATTTTGTGAACTTTATAATAATTTCAATATATTGGCTTGTAAATGATAATACTTTTTTAATTTTTAGTTTTGCCTTACTTTACCAACAAATGTGGAACTCATCAACTCTCTTAAGACCTCAAACTGCTGTGGGCATCAATATTGTGGATCAGATTAGAACCAATGTCAGAAAGCATTTCTATCGTCCAAGTGAAAGACTGCGCTTAAAAAAGCATTCCTACCAGACAAGATTGAAAACCCCTGGTGGAAGAGCAATTATAATGAGAAGAATATTGAAAGGAAGATTTGTTTTAAGCCATTAAATGCATAATACATGTACATTTCATATTATTAAATTTTTAGAATTGAATTTAAAGATTGGTAATGTTATACAGTCGTCCCCACTTATTCGCCCCTCGGATATACGAATAACCCGCTTATAGGAATAAAATTTAATGGAACCAAATAATTTTATATTTAAGTTTAAACGGTTATCTGTTGTTTTTTGTCCCCGCTTAATCGCATAAAGAAGTGGTATTAAAATTAAAAAATTTGTTAATTATAGAAAAATATTTCACCAGCTGAAATGGAATTTCCCTTTTTCACTTAAGATAAGGATACAGTAGGTGGTCATTTCAATAGGAACTTCTTATTCATTATAGTAGGTGTTTGGGATGAAGTTGAAAAATTAATCAAATCTTGCTGCCAGTTATACATTGAAGTAAACGAAGGGGGTTTTACCCCTCTTTGACTTACTTCACTCACACATCATTTAGTATGTTAAAAAGGGATAGAGTGATTAGTTTTTAGGTCAAGACTTGTGGCCCCCTCTTGATGCACTATTAGCGTTGATAAGAAAAAGTTTTAAAAACCTAATACACTAGTGTAAAGCATGTCTTTCTCTTAAGTAGAATAATTGCTTAATCCAGTGAATAATTTTGAGTTTGTTGCAAGTTGAGTGCAAAAAAAAATTCTTTAAATTAATCGGAAAAAAACAATGAATCTTAGAAACAATAAATTTCAAAAAAATCCCCAACTAAAATAGCGCATTAATTAGGAATTTCTCAAGTTTCAACGATAAAAAAAAAAAAATCTGAATGTGTTTGAAAGGAATACGTACAAGTCAAGAAAATTTTTGTAGAAACTAAAAGGGAATGTCTAATTTTGATAAATTAACGAATTAAATGGGTATAAAAAACAGTCTTCAATTATAGAATTTTTCGGATGGGATAAAATAATATTTTCGTTCCTACATGATGCTTTTTGCTAACATTGATTTATTTTTATGTAACTTTAAATGACGTTTTATAATGATACTAAGGCAGAAAGTTTTAATTATAATTATTTATTGATCACAAAACTGAGTTTATTTTATCAAATACAATTAAAAAATAAAATTTGGCAAAAATTCAGAATTAAAGATTGAATATAGCACTCCCCTTTTAATCGAATAACCCGCTCAATAGCATAGATTTGGCTGGAACCGATGGTATTCCTTTAAGCGGGGTTGACTGTATTGTGATAATGCTTGAGTGTGGAATATCATGCATAAACATCATTTTTGAAAATGGCTTTGAATGCTATAATTTAACTGTCTTAGATAAAATGAAAAACTTTCTCCTTATACAGAATCTCAATTAAAACACGCATTTATTCCCTCTTGTAACTAGTTTCAATCAATTCATTGCCACATCATACAAAGTTCATTTGAAAGTCAAGTTTTTTTTTAAATGTTTAATTTTTGTAGAATTCTATATTGATTCATATCACAGGAATGAGTTTAGCAAAAAACCAAAAACGTCAAAAATAGAAACCCGAAAATGTTATGTGCAAAAACACTTTTTAAATAATTAAAAAAATACCTAAAATTTGTGCAATAAAAAAGTGAATATGAAGCTTTTATCCAACGAATGTTATCATCATTTTAATTGAAATATGTTAGATTTTATTTATTTGTTTAAATTATGTGAAGTGCTTATGTGATCTCAATGTGTGATTTTTAAATTAGGCGAATCTCGATATTTATTTTCAAAAATCGCTTGAATGCGAATCTTATTGTTTGATTTTAAATTCGCTTGAATAGGAATGTCGTTATTTGATTTTAAAATTAAGTGAATACAAATCTCTATGTTTAATTTTAAAATTGCAGGAATACAAATCTCAATGTTTATTATTATTTTTTTTAAATTGCTTAAATACAAATTCTGACGTCTAATTTTTAACTCACTTGAACATGAATTGTAATAATGGCTTTTAAATTGCATAAATAGGAATCACAATGTGTGATTTTAAATCATGTGAATGTAATTTTAAATTGGGTCTGCCTTGGTAGGAAAAGACGTGAAAATGAATCTTTTTTTCCTCCTCGGGAATTGGAAAGAAAAAAAACATTTTTTGAAGAAGCAGATTTTTTTTTTTAGTAATAGTAAAAAACTTTCCAAAACCGTGACAAATTTTCGTTGAACGGCGCTCGTTTATGTTATACAGGTCATATTTGTGTTAAAAGGCAGGTAACACTAAAATTTCTAAGCTGGTTAACAAGTATTATTGTACAAAAAAAAAAATTACTAAACTACTGTAAGTATATAGAGCAACTTTATTACATTTTTGAGCTAAAAATCTGAATCTACAAACACAAAATTTATTTATTAGGTTACAATCAGCAATTTTTAAAAATTTTTGCTTCCAAGATCAATATTGTTAACTTCTGATAAATTCAATACGTTGTACACAAATTCTACGAAAAAAAAAATAACGAAATTGACTGTTTTTTTTAAAAAAAAAAATACATATACATTGTTTTGAAAAGTGCATTAATGGTGTCCTGTAAATTTTGCAACAATTGGTTAGGTAGGGCACATTATAAGGATTATAAATTGCACAGAAACTTATGATTGGAATTGTCATCTTACGTTGACTGGGGTGCTTCCCTATTATGAACTGTTTTTATAATAGGTGTTTCCCTATTATGAACTGTCACTGTTCATACATGCTCCTTTGAACAGTTACTTTTATTTATCTTAATTTAATTATTATCCAAAATAGAGTTAATTATCTAATTAATGCTCTTTTTATGTTTTCTAATAATTGTTGACAATTGCATTCAGGTAGACGTATAAATAACTGTTTTATAGTAGTTTAATGATTTGAAGAGCTCATTAAATTAGGTGTCAAATCATTAAATTACAATTGAAAATCTAATACTGAACAAATTTTGATGCAATTTTTGACAATGATTATTAGAAAGCATAAACATGAAGCAACATGAAATTTGCAGTCATATTATCAAATTAACACTGAATTAAGATAATTTAGATGAATAAAAGTACCTGTTTAAAGGCACACATAGAAACAATACATAATTGAGAAACACCCCAATTGCTGTACAATGATTATTTAGGGGACACCTTGTATTCTTCCTGCCTGTCATTTGTAGTGAACGTATGGAATATCTCTGACAGCATCTAACAGTACAGCCTAGAGCCATGTTAGCTCGGGGTATAAAGCATTCTGCTCCCAATGAGGTGACCCTGATTAAAATCCGGGTGAAGGCTGGTTGATGCAAATTCTACTCCTGGCTCGCAGTGACCTCATTGCTGATGTAAAGTTTCCTCAGAAGTAGATTGACCATGGGTTATAATCTCCTTGTCGCATGGCTATCTGTGGTAGGTTTTCCTCTCCATGTAATGCAAATGCGGGTTAGTTCCATCAAAAAGTCCTCCACTAAGGTTAGTTTGTCCCAATGCTTATTCCAGGAGTTCGTTTATACTTCTGGGTTGGATTCACAATTACAAGTCTGCGGAGTTGAACATTGATATTCGTAAACTCAGAATCGGGTCAGCTGTTTAACGCTGATTATAAAATAAAATAACAGTACAGGCTGTGTTGCCATGGATAGATTCCTCTGGTGTCGTTTTTCTATCATGTTTACAATTGTACTGCTGGAAAAACTAAAGAGAACAAAAATTTTCAAACACTATCGCAAAACTCGTTCATCTAAATATAATTCAATGTAAAAAGTACTTTTTTCACATGATATTATTTTTTGATTTAATAATGAATGAAAGATTTTTTGATTAAAAGATAAAAAAATATTTACATAATTTTTAACTGTGACGAAATAGATTGAATATAATTTTTGAGAAATAAAAATTTAAAAATGTGACTTTTTAAAACAATTTCATTACTTAGAAACTCAGGGCTTGTAGTTATCCTGATTTTTCTGATAAAAAATAGTTTGTCCTTATATTTAGCTTTTTGTCCTGATGTTCCTATTTTTTACGTATACAAATGTGGGTTTTAAAAAAAACTTATTTTAAGAACCAAAAGATTATTTTTACTTTAATTAAAAATGCTACTAATAATCGTGTAATGCAATATTTCAAACTTGGAGATCGTCCACGAATTATACACATAATATATTGCTTCCAACTTTTTGGAAGAATGCATCCATTTTATGAAAAAGAAACTCAGTAATTTTCCATAGTAAAATTTTTATTGTAATAATTCAGTGGTCATACGCTTGTTCATTATTTTCTGCAAACGCAGTAATAAATCTTATAGGGTAAAATTTTGTAGTTTCACAATTATTGATTCATCTCTTTCAGATGATTTTTATAAATACTAATAAAATGAACATAAAATTAAATAGTGATTTAAGGGATAATCCTCTAGTTTACATGTATCAAGTTTACATGCATTTTGTACAAAAATGTTTGATCATTTTGTTTTCATCTCCATATTATTGAAAAGCTACTTAAAATTATTGGTTTGAGGGAATAATAACTTACTGGTAACTTACTGAGGGAATAATAACTTACTGATTAAAGCGACATTGCCTCAAAAATTTTCTATCTGTTGATACATAGGTATATAGAAATTTTTTAATAATATTGATAAATTTTCTACTATGAGTTTTCCAATCCTCTGCTAATAAAGTTATTCTAGAAAGAGTTAGAAATTTCTGTTCTAAACATAGTAAATAGTATAATTTTTATTCTTTTGTGATGAAATTTAAATATTTTATATTTAAGCAGAGCAATATATACTTTTTTTTGTTTGCTGTTTATTTTTTTTAAAACTAGTTTAGAATACTGTTCCAAAAAGTGTCCTGAGTTTTGTTTTTAAATGTTGTCCTAAATTTTTCTTCTGCCCATTACTAGGACTGGAAACTATTCGGTCGATTTACTTTAAATTTTGCCATTTGAAATTACAAAGTTTAAAATGAACTAAAAATCTGCATGTCTTATAATTCAAAAACTTCCTGCTGTTATTAAATAATGTAATAAAAAATTATAAATATTTTTAAAAATATATTTAGCATGAAATTGTCTTTGAATAAATGAGTTTTACGATTGCGAATAAAATATTTTTGATTTTCTTAAATGTTCTCAGAGATAGGTCCAGATTGTAGTTACTCTCTTTTGTCAAGAATGCACATTCTTTCAAAAATAGGTATGTTCATTCAGAGAAAGTACGTTTTTATGTCTAATCTTGTAATTTTAAATATCGTCTGCATTAATTAATAAGCGTAGATAAGGTAAATCCCCCTAATCATTTTAGTCAATGAAATTGTAATTTTTGTAGATCAAAAGCTATTAAGGAGTACCTTTTTTTTAAATTTTATATCATAAATTTTTAGCGTAGTTTTTTCGTGCTTATAAGTGAATTTTCGTGCTTATAAGAGAATTACTGAACTACTAACTGAAACACTTATTTAATTACTTCACTCGCTTCTTTGTTTTTTCCCCCTCATTTTTTTTAAAAAAGTATATTAATAATTTAGAAAAGAATTATTTTAGATCACATCCTTAGATCATTGCTTAAATACTTTTAGATCATATTCTTTGTTTTAGATTACATTATTTTAAATCATATTCTTTTATAAAATTGGAATTTGTTAGCTCATTTCTAGATGATGCCATATGATTTTTCATCCACCAAAATTAGCCTTATCACGTCATACTGAGGAATTGACGCGAGTTAAAATTGAGGAAAAGAACAATATTTTTAGAACAAACGATTTTTTAAAGATTTATGATTTCGTAATCTTTCATTTATTTTGCATTATTTGTGTTAAGCATTTGTTTCTGAGAAATCTCAAAACTCGTCATGTTGGAATATTCCAATCCTGTAGACGTGGAAATATTATCGAAGTTACCTTCTAACTATATTACTCACTCTTACATATTTTGATTAAGATACCGCTGTATCGTGTTAATAAGAACTCGAACAAAGATGAAGAACGATATAACTACTCTAATTTGTGTTTAACTTATTTAACGAACTGCGTAACAATGAAATAAGAGTAATGTAATAAAAAATGAATTTTATAAGAGTAAAATAAAAAATTTATTTTATAGTTAATAGTATTTTATTTTTCACATATTTCCACCAATAATTTCATTTTTATTTGCAGTAACCAACTCGGAATGATATGTAAGATTATAGATATTATATATATCCAGATATATATAATTTATGAAAAAAGTAAATAACCAATAAATCGGTATTTATCAACTCTATAAAATTATGTACTAAAGTGAAAGACATATTCCGACACAATTAATTAAGCTAACAATTTCTGTTTTTTAAATTTATTTATATGGTTCGTCCTTCCCATTGGTTTTACATTATTAGATTAAGTAAAATCTGTTTTTAAAAGCTTATCCCTTCGAAATAATGATTAATTGCATTCAAACTTATTTGTATATTGCTCGTGGTCAACTCTAGATAGTCAAGAATTGCTATCTAGAGTTGTCAATCCGATATACTTATCTTTTACGGTGCCCTTTAAGAAACCTATTTCCACAGTATCTATAGTAGATATCTTGATACTGATATTATTATACTTATTTTCTTTAAAAACAACAACACTTAACATATACAATAATAATATGAATAATAGGTACTATAAAATAGTATGCCGAGTTATTATTTTTCTCCTAGACAAATAAGCACCTTTTACATTAATTTAGCTTCTTAATACAAAACATTTCTTTCTAATTTCAATTTGTACCTGTTGCCGAAATTAATTAAGCAGCATTGGCTTCAATAATTTTTTTTTATTTAAATTTATTGCTCAATTTTTAATGCTCTACAAAATAGAACATGAGACTTACAGATGTAAGTGGGCATAGTACAATTGCAAATTAAAAAGAAACAGAAAAAAATTAAAAGTTTAATTTGTGAATAAAATTACGTAAAATATTTAGGTTTTAAGCGCATTTAACAAACAAGGACAAAACAGGTGGTCAACAAATACCTAAGTATCTCTGTTCATTTTTTAAGCTTTCTTTTTGATATAAATTACGATAAAATATAATGTGTTCTATATTGTCAACATCTTAACCACAAGAACAAAAATTACAATTCACTAAATTAAACCTGAACAAGTAGCTGTTAAAACTTTCATGTCCTGTAAGGATATGAGTGAATATAAAGTCAGTAAAATATTTCCTTCACTTCAACCTCTGAAAATCAGTCAGAAAAAAAATCTTTTAGTCCACATAGCTTTTGGAGAAGCTAAGAATTCAGTGTTTCAGTCCAAAAAAAAGCCACACGTTTCCAGCGTAACTAACGCGACAGACATCGAAAGATCAATATCAAGGCAAGTCTGGTGATTCTTTTTAATTAATCACCTAGACGAATAACCACGTTTTCTTCATTATTTTAGCTTTTTAGTATACTTATTTTTTATTTCAATTTGTACCGATTACAAAAATTAAGTAAGCATCATTTGCGTAACTTTTGTTCATAAATAAAAATAAGCTAGCCATAAGTGACGAAAAACTAGATCCTTGTGGCATTCCATCTATTTGAATAAAAAATAATTTCTTATTATAAAGATAGTTATTACAAAGACGCATATTAATAACAATTTCCTAATAATTAAATTCGCAATTTAGGGTATTTTTATAATCTTAGTAACATGCGAGGTTAACCAATTTATTATAACATTTTAGAAAGTGGGATGCTATTAAAGAGATTCTGAATATGATGAACGAAGAGATAGAAATGTTCTGTCCTCTTAACTCTTCAGCGGTTCTTATATATATATATATATATATATATATATATA